TTTGCAGCGGGGCTTTGAATTGGAGGGGTCGCTGAAGCTCTCTCCCTTGAACTTTTTTTTTGGCACTTTGGGAAGGTACCTTTACTTTAGGTAGAGTGTTGGGCGCGGGGGGTGTAAGCTGTTGCTTTGCCGCTGCCGGGTTTTCGGTGGGGGGTTCATTCTGGTTATATGCGGGTTAAAGGTTGAGGTGCGCTTCGGGACTTGAGCCGGGAGAGAGGTGTGTCCGGGGGCCCTGCGCTCGGCGCTCGTCCCGTTTTCCTTCCACCTTACCACTGAATTCAAACGGGGGGGTTGGTTGGTTGGGTGCTCTCGCGGGACCAGCTTGTGACAATTGCGTCGGTGAGCCTCTCAAACTTAATTCGTCTCCTTATTTCATTTGCCTTTGGTTACGATAATCTTCTTTCTAGGTCAAGTAATGAATGGCCCGACCGAATCAAACCAGCAGATGTTAAACCGCGCTCTCTGGGTCTATAGGATACAGACAGATAGTACGAGACATCACAAGCAAATAGACTTTGATAAAATACACTGCCTTCATTCAAGTCTATGGGCTATGTCTTACACAGACCAGAGGTCTAGGCTATCTCACTCTCACTCTCTCTCTCTCTCTCTCCATCTTCTAAATATTCTCCCCATGGGAGAGCCCCCCTTCATACTAGAACAAAAGAAAAAAAGTTTCCCGTCCATTATTCTACCTTGAGACTCTGCAGGCGAGCTTCTGTCGCAATGACCTGAAATCAGACACATTAGTTACCAATTATTCTTCAAATGCATTCAGGGGGTTTATACTCACATCAAGAGCCTGCTGGACCTCAAGAACCTTCCTCACCTCACCGAGCCAGTCTCTGCTCAGTGTCTTCGCCCAGCCCTGCAGACCGTTCATCTCACGGGCCGCAGCATCCAGGTTACCCTCCTCCAGCAGCGTCTGCGTGCGGGTGAGAATGCTCTCGACGTCGTCGCCGCCGACCAAGCCTTGTTTCTTGAACATGACCTTGCTGAGGAGGTAGCTCGACGCGTGGCTGGCGACGCCGGCCTCCTCGGGCAGGAGGGACGCCTTGCGCACCTCGTTGGCGACTATCCTGAAACGGTCAATAAGCTGTGCCGCGTTGGAGAGACCTCGCTGGTAGGCCGACGGGTTGATCGAGGCAATGGCCGCGTTGACGACGGGGTCCTCGGCCGCAATCTCCTTGAGCGCAACGAGCTCGCGCGTAAACGGCTTGGGCGTCGTCGCGTTCTCGAGGCTGGCGCGGACAGCGTCCACGGCGACGTGGAGCTGCTGCGTGCGGAGGTTGGTGTCGACAACCTCGTTCCAGCCCGTTGTCAGCTTTTCGAGGTCCTGGACGGCTGCCGACAGGTTGTTGAGCTTGCCGAGGCGGCCCTCGCGCTCGGCCTCGACATGGCCCTGCACCTCGGCGACGAACTCCTTCTTCAGGGCGAGCGCCTGCTCCAGCAGCTGGTTGTTGAGACGCTCCTCGTTGAGCTGCTTCTCGCGCTCCAGCAGGAGCTTGACGCGCTCGTTGTAGGCATCCTTGACCTTCTTCATCTCGTCCTCGAAATCCTTTCTCCACTGAGTCTCCTGGGCGACCATGGCGGACTCGACGCGGGCAATCAGGTCGTTGGCGGCCTTGTCGAAGTCGGCGACCTTGGCCTCAACCTCGGAAGCGGCCTTCTCCTCGACCGAAGACTTGATGGCCTTGATCTTGCCTCCAACCTTGCTCAACTCGCTTTTGGCCTTGGCAATGGTGGGAGAGTAGCGGCCGTGGGCCTTGTCGGCGTTGATGACGGTGATGATGTCGTTGAGCATACGAACGAGGTCCTGGACGACGGGCTCGGTGGCATCCTCAATTTTCAGGGCGTCGATCGGGGCGATGGGAGGGAATCGCGAAGGCTCGTTGACCTCGGGGGCCTTGAAGCCGTTGGAGTCCTCCTTGGGCGCGGCAGCAGCAGGCTTGGTCTCCTTGGCAGGCTCAGGCGCGGCCTTGGGAGTCTCTGGCGCAGGCTTGGGCTTCTCGACCGGCTTGCTCACCTCCTCCTTGACGGCGACGACCTTGGCAGCAGCCTTGTCAACAGCGCTCGACTGACGACCGGCGGGCTCGCCGTTATCGGCTACTCTCCATGACGCGCCGCTCTGGGCGGGGATCTTGACCTGGCTTCCGGTATCTCTTCCCTTGATCTTGTTCGAGAGATTGGGGAATCGCTTGCGGAAGTCTGCCTCCTCAAAGTAGAGGACGGCTTGCTCGCCAAAGGGAATATATTCGGTGAAGAAGTCGTGGAAGTTATCGTTGACGCGCGAGTACCAGACACCGCCTCCGAAGCCGACGGCGCCGAGGATGGCGAGGGTCAGGACAAGGTTCCTCAATCGGCGGAAGAAACCCTTCTTCTTGGGCGCGGCGGCCGCGGGCGACTCGGGCGGAGGAGGAGCAGCGGCAGCGGCAGCGGCAGCCTCGAGGTTGGGAACGACGACCGCGGGATCGGGAGTCGGGGGCGTGAGAGGAACCTCTTGCTTGGGGATGGTCGGCTCGACGGCGGAAATCTCGGGGACGACGCTTTTCTCTGAGGTGATGGTCTCTGATGCTGGCAGGACGGCGGGTTTGGACGGGTCGACAACGGGCTTCTTGTCATCGGCGAAATGCCTCCTCTGGCGGGCGGCAGCGGCCTGCCATTGACGGCCAACGACGGCCGCCGCAGGCCTGTGGCCGAGCACCCTCACGGATCGAATCGACGTTCGCAACATGAGGGGATGCAATGGGCCGACAGGGCGTAATTGGGGGTGAATGATGTCGAGGGGGAGTTGCAGTGGGAGGTGTTCCGTACCTTTTGGTGACGGGAATCCAGGCACAAAAAAGCTCAGGGAAAAGTTCGGCTAAAACTGGGTGAGCTTCCAGCCGCGCCGTGCTGGTCCGCTGCGAGCGCCGAGCGGCAGGAACCGGGATCTCAGCCAGGACCACCTGCCTATCCGTTCCTTACCAAGAGCTCACGTCACTCGTCACTCGTCACTCGGCAGCAACACCTGTCAGTTATTGACACGCGTCTTTCACATTCTCCCATCTTCATTAAGCTGATATATATATCGCATTTTCATGGTGATGATACAGTTCTGTAGCTTTGCGTGATCTTTCTCTCAAGAGCCTTGACAGCCTAGCACATTAAGGGGTGAGGGAAAAAAAAATTAAAGAAACTACGTCACCAAGCTTTACTTCCTTGATCGCTCCATTTGGAAATCTTCATCGGCATTCATGAGCGGTATATACGTCCACAGAACCATGTGCAGTGCATCACCAAGCCGCCCAGGAACGAAACGATAAGAAATTGTATACGGTCCCATCCTTGAGAAACAGTTGCCTCTATCGCATACTGTACATCAGAAAAATGCTGCAGGATGCTTCCCCCAGTAAAGTGAATCCGTTCCCGTACACCGTCTTATCCCAGGACTGTCCCTACACCCGAGTTGCCGCAACCGAATGACCAGCTCAATGAAGACTCGAATTGTAAAATCACACTGACACACACACACACGCAGCTCTCTCCCCTTCTCCCCTTGTCTCTTCCTCTTCTCTCCCTCTCTCAAAAAAAACGTACTGTTGATATTAAAAAAGCTGGGTCTGGCATACCCATTCTTTGGTGTAGGGGTTTGCGACAACGCTCTTCTTCAGCCCAAACCCATCCAGCCCAAACGCCGTCGTGTACGTGCTCGTATTGGTGCGATGCCTGACTGATGGGTGCCCTTGTGCAGTTCTGCTAACGGGAGCCTGCCTCGCCTCGGACGTATTGCCAATCTTTCGCCGATTTCCTTGGGCTCGTTCGATATATGATGATGATGATGGTGGTGGTATGCGAATCTCTTCTCACTTAGCAGCTGCAAGGCCCGCTGACGTTACTGCCAGGAGTCTCGGGTTGGAGGCTGACGCCCTGTCGCTGGCCTGGCCGGGCGTGCCTAGGGCCGGCCTGGTCAAGCGGCAGCTTCTTGGCGATAGCAGTGAAGAGATCCTTGACGTTCTCGGCCGTCTTGGCTGATGTCTCGAAGAAGAGGAGTCCGGCCTCGCGCGCATATGCCTCGGCGTCGGCCGTGGGCACCGCTCTCTTATCGGGCTGCTCGGTGACCAAATCCAGCTTGTTGCCGGCCAGGGCGATGATGATGTTTTCGTTGGCTTGCCTCTGCAATTCCTTGACCCACGCCTTTGCCTTGTCCAGGGATGCCTTGCTGCCGTTAGCATTCTTGTGAAGCATGTCGTGGGTTATCATTCAACCTACAGATTGAGTAATGTCGTAAACTACTACAGCGCAGTTTGCGTTGCGGTAGTACATGGGTGCAAGGGACTTGTATCGCTCCTGTCCGGCCGTATCCCAAATCTCGAACTTGACTGTGGTGTTCTCGTCGAGGGAAATGGTCTGGGTCAGGAAGGCGGCGCCGATAGTGGATTCGCGGTAGGAGTCAAACTGGTCCTGTAGTGGTACAAGGTTATTAGGCTGGTGTGATGATGAAGCCGGACTAGTTGTGCATCGGGGACTTACCTTGACGAAACGCAACACGATGGAGCTCTGAACAACAGGTTAGCACCAATGGGTGGAATTTCTATGAAAATCCGGACAACGAAATACCTTTCCAACAGCGGACTCGCCTGTGTATCATCATTACCGTTAGCTATTATCGTTGCGGTAGGCGATTCGGGCGGCAAGAAAGATTACATACCTAGCAAGACGAGCTTGAATTGCGCAAAGCGCGTGTTCATACCGCGCGCACCAGGAGCACCGGGGCCTCGGGCAGCCATTTTTGCGTAATATGAAGGAGAGGTTTTGGGAGGAAGCGGGCGATGGCAGAAAGTCGGTGTTTGATGAGCCTAACACACGGAGCGAGAGGCTGTTCTGGGAGGGCGGCTATATCGAATGTCGCCGGACGGACTCGTTCGCTAGCCTTCGGAAAGGGTGGTCCAAGTCGTAATGGAGAAAATGAAGGCGATGTTACGTTGATCGAGATGGGGATCGAGGGTCGCGAAAGCAGCCGTCGTGGATCAGAAGATTTGTGGTTGCGCGGCGGGAGGGGCGAGGGTGCGAGTACTGCGTAGAGGTCGGTGGTGGAATGTAAGGTGGGAAGCAGCGGGATGGGAGTTGATGGTAAATCGGGTCCTGGAATAATGTGACTGCCTTGGGGTCAACCGTTCTTGGGGGTCTCGGGGGGCGTGTGGGTGCGGTTGGGTGGTGCGTGTGTGTCGGTGATCACTGATGCCCATTCACTGTCCTGTGGCCTGTCTGGTAGGTACTTCCGTGCCTTGCTACGGGCTGCGTAAGGTAAGGTACTGCGGAAGTGGTTGAGAGCGTCCTAGCGTCCGACTAATAAGGTACCTTACCACATTACCTAAGGACCAAGCTGTCTGCAAGTCGCAGTGGAGAGGAGCGCTGAGATGCTCGCCGGGCTGTCAGGTGCAGATGGACGGACGGACGGGGGACACCTACGACCCCGATGACTTCTGACCAGGTGCCAGACACGCCAGAAGCCCAACTAAGATGACCTCCAGCTCAATAGTCGGGCAAAGTACTTTGCGTTGATTGGCCGACGGGAGGATGTTGCCGTGTTATGTAATCTCTCCCGGCGTTCTGGGCAATGGCAGGGCAGTCTGTCGCCGCCTGCCTCATCAGGGGTACGTACTGCTTTAGTCATGATTCAGGGCAGCCACGGCACCATCGTCACAGGACTGGCAGGAGGACTGGCAGCAGGCCTTGCTAGAGGTTACCTACTGTTCCAAGTCCACAGCTTACCTAAGGAGCGGTTCTCATGTAATGAGCCCACCCAGCTATTCAGCTCCCCTATTGGATCATAGCTCCTAAGCATGGCCTGTGCTTCTGAGATACTCTTTGGTCCCTCTTTCACAAGCCGGACTTACAGATTTCCAGGCTTTCCAGTGCTGCTCCAGCCCCCCTTGCACAGCAGCACCGAGCTCTCAAAGGCACCTCAGGCTGTTCCAGTTCGTGTTCCAATGAAGGTACCTAAGGTACCTCATCAAAGTACCTTTACCTTGTGTGGAGACTCTCTCTCCCCTTGCCCCCCATTCCACCCGGGCTGTGCTTGCGACTGCAGAGTGACGACAGCCATTTTTATTGTGGTTCACAATTCAGTGCAGCCAACCAAAGCCTCAAGCTGTCCTCAAGGCTCTGGATACTGGGTGCTCGAGACTTGAACTTGCGACCGTTAGCTTCACCTTCAACATCCTCCCAGTTGGACGACAACAAGGGCTTCAAGGCTTTTCCCCCCCTTCAACCTCCCCCCCATTCATTCGCTTCTTTTCTGCTTTGCCTAGCCTTGCATTGCCTTGTCCATCTAGCTCTTGCTTCTGTTCACTACTTACTACCCTTTCAACATCCCCTTGCCGCCCGTCACCATGGCACCCACCCTTCCCTATCGCGACATCAACGTCAAGGTCGCCCCCGACTCTTACGTCTTCACTTCTCCCTCCTCGCCTGATGCTCCTGCCCTGGTCATTGACAGACCGACCGGAGACCTTCGCCTTGGAGATGCAGGTCTGGGCAAGAGAGTATCCCGGCAGTCAAGCATCGCCGGAATTTTGGGCATAGTCCAACTCAGACTTGGTAAGATCCCACACGATCGCCAGCAACGCGGTCGACCCCTCCTGGCCTGCAACACCACACAATTCGCTAACTTTAATTCCTCTCTCCAGACAAGTATGTCATCATAATCAACAAGGCCCAGCCTGTCGGCCGCCTCAAGGGCCACATGGTCTACAAGGTCGTCAGCACCGAGATCCTCCCCATGCGCGAGCGCCAGATCCGAGACCCCGACGAAGATACCTTCATTGGTCTGCTTGAGACCTTCATGAAGAACGGCCCCATGTACTTCTCCTACTCTCTCGACCTCACAAATTCCTTCCAGCGCCAGGCCTCCGCCGACACCTCTCTACCGCTCTGGCAGCGCACAGACGATCGCTTCTTCTTCAACCGCTTCATCCAGTCAGACCTGATCGACTTCCGAACGAGGGGCGCCAGAGGCCATGTTGGTCCCCAGCCCGGCGTCGATCCCTTCATCCTCCCCGTCATCTTTGGCATGCTCGAGATTCGCCCTACCACCTTCAAGGGAACCCCCGTCACCGTCACCCTCATCTCCCGTAGATCCAGACACCGCGGCGGTACCAGATACTTTACTCGAGGCGTTGACGACGAGGGCCACGCTGCCAACTACAACGAGACAGAGCAGATCACCATCTTCAATGACTCGGGCAGTGGCATGGGCGGCTTTGCCGGCAGCAGCGATATGCAGAGCGGTAAGTACGGCGCCGACGGAAAGGAGACCCAGATCATGTCCCACGTCCAGACTCGCGGCAGTGTGCCCACCTACTGGGCCGAGATCAACAGCCTCCGTTACGTTCCCAAGCTGCAGGTCCGCGGCATCGACAGCGCTCTGCCGGCGGCCAAGGCGCATTTCGAGGAGCAGATCCGTCTCTACGGCGACAACTACCTCATCAACCTCGTGAACCAAAAGGGCCGTGAGCAGCGCGTCAAGAACTCGTACGAACAAATGGTTGAGAAGCTCGTTTCGTCGCCAAAGGAGCGGACCGAAGGTGACCGCATCACGGACGAAAAGTTCACCACAATTCAGCCGGAGAAGCGCGCCGTCGAGTTTGACCGCCTGCATTACATCTACTTCGACTACCACCACGAGACCAAGGGCATGAAGATGCACCGCGCATACGCCCTGGTCGAGAAGCTGCAGGAGGCTCTTCAAGACCAGGGCTACTTCCGTGCGGTGGATATGCCGGGATCCAACGACGGTCGTCTCGAGCCACGCAGCTACCAGACCAGCGTCATGCGCACAAACTGCATGGATTGCCTGGATCGCACAAACGTGGTTCAGTCCATGTTTGCCCGCCACATGTTAGACCGCATCTTTGAGGAGATGGGCTTGATGTCCCGCGGCTCGTCCTTCCGTGACGAAGACCCGGCCTTTGAGCACATGTTCCGCAACCTCTGGGCCGATAATGCCGACGTGGTGTCCAACTCGTACTCTGGCACCGGCGCCATGAAGACAGATGTCACCCGCACCGGCAACCGCACAAAGGTCGGCGCTCTTCAGGACGCCCGCATCGGCGTCACCCGCTACTTCAAGAACAATTTCTTCGACGGTCCCCGCCAGGACTCGTACGACCTGTTCCTCGGCGTGTTCCTTCCTGGCACCGCAAACATTGGCGGCTCCCTCGTCTTCGCCGACCGCCGCCCCATTCTCATCCAGTCGGTTCCTTACCTTCTCGCTTTCAGCATCTTCCTCGTCCTCGTCGGCCTCTTCTCCAAGACCGAGGCTGTCGTCACCATCCGCATCTTCATCCTCTTCTGGCTCGCCGTCGCCGTCTGGTCTGCCAGCTTCGTCTTCAGCCACGGCATGCTCTACGTAAGTCACAGCCGTCAAGATGCCCCGTCCCCCTGTCCATGTTCAATCCAGCTAACACCCTATCTCAGGTCAATTGGCCCAAGCTCAACCCCAGACCGTGGGCCAACGAGGGCTACGCTGAGCACATGTCCAAAGCCCGGAAGGATTCCGTCCTTGGCTCCTTTGTTGCTCGTCATGAGCGCGGCCTCAGCACTGCGAGATACCTTCATGCCGAGGAGGGCAAGAAGAGAGTCGAGTGAGGCAATATTATGCTGTGTTATCGAGCACGTCTCATTTCAAAGGGAAGGCGGCTTCTTGATCCCAAATTCTACATTCAACCCTTTTTGTCACATTCTTCACCGAACAAGGTCATACAGAAACCTTGTTCTAAACTACTTCGTTTTTCAATGCCGAGCCGGGAGTTTACAGGCATGGAATGGACATGGCATAGATGTCGTAGCAAAGTAACGGCTTGTCTTAAGAACTGAATAATACACCCCTTTTTTTCTTGTCCATATGCTACGTATTTTCTCTGCTGTACTTTTGACTTGATAGACTCGATTGAGAATGAGATTGGTCACGCACCCTGAGGAATGGCATGTTGGATGTGACGTACTAGACAGGGGTTGAAGACAAGTCTAAAAACTTGCCTCTGCATGTCGCATTTCAGTAGCTGGTGAAATGGTCTCTCGCCAGTGACCAAGGACGAGATCCTGCCGGGGCGGATGGGAACAACTTACATAGAACGTCAAGCTAGATTGCATGCCTGCCAGAAGGGAAAAGAGACACATGAAGAAGGAAAAAGGAAAAAAAAGGGGGACCTCGATAGGGAGTTGAACAAAAGGTTAGGTTCAGTGAGGCTCGAGGACTTTCAGGTTAATACAATGACTCCCCCCTCATACCCCTCGGCCACGTTCCCCTTGTTCCTCTTATGACAGGAGCAGGGAAAATCTGACCCAAGTACCCTTCTTCTCAAGGGCTATTCTATTTTCTCAAATGAATCATATCGAATACGCAACCACCCCCTTTTTATGCGAAGATGTCGTGGGGGAACCCCGGCTGCAAGTTTTTATAGAGAGGCTCAACTGCTTTGCGTATTCAGGCTAAATAGCACCTCAATGTCACCAACCTCCACGTGGGCGTTCTTGAATGTTTGCAGCCTGCCGTCATGGGCTCCGTGGAGCGATTAGGTTATTTCCAGAAACAGTGCTTCCGTTGACCCGGGAAATGGGGAACGTTGCAGTCATGGACTAACATGGTAGCGGAGTCTAACTGGCAGAATCGCCGGGGGTCCCAATTCGTGTAGCATCGACAATTTTCAGTTCAGGGTCCGGAGACACGTACAGTATTCGGTTCGTAGAATTCTTGGAGTATGAATACCATATGCTGGGTCACGCT